TGCAATCCATTAAATGGAAGTTGCTCGTTATGCGACAATAGATTCAAATGTTTTTTTGTTTACACGTGCACGTACAGTCGAAAACGTAGACCACAAAATTTAGTAATAACTAATAAACCATGAGAACTACGAATTTAAAACGACGTTTTGGTGCTAATTTTCTGAGGCGATGGCTAATATTTTACGTGGTTCTACAACAGGATGATTACGTAAAATCGTCATGCCAGAAGACACATACCCACCCTTGTGAAAATTCGTGGATGATATGTGATGTGTTAACGAGACTATCGGCTTTCAAGGACGAGGAAATTTTGAGGCTTGTATAATTCAGGTGGTCGGATGTGTTAAAGAATAAACTGGCTATGAACTCGCCATAGCTGATATAAAGATAATGAAAGCACAAATGTTTAGAGATAAATATGTACAGTTATATTTCAGGCTGAGGCACTCGAGTGCAGTTCTGCAGTCCCTTGAATAGAAGAAGTGAACTAAGAGGATTTTTATCCAGAGATGGACTCTTGAATGGAATCCGCTCAATAAAAAGACGACGTAGGTCACAAATTTCAGTGACCACATGCGAACACAGGACAATAACATGATTAATCGTGCTGAACCATTGGATCGTCGTTTAAAATGGCATGTACTGAAAAGTGATTTTCCACGCAAATGTGTGTTGAATGTGTACGAAATAAATGACGCAACATCAACAAGAGAGAGCACGAAAGACCGGATATCTGCGACCAGACGCAATAAACACAGAGCACCTAAGCTTTCACTTCCATTAGTTGGATAATTGGTTCTTACTTTTGTGGTTTAAATAAGTGGATCATGTGTGCGCATAATACGGAACGGATGACAGGGTGTTCATGCTGAACCGAGGTTTTGCCTGTAGTGGCGTTGATTCTAACCCTGCGATCGTTGAAGCTGAACATGAGATAACCGAAAAAATTCACATGATGGTGAACGCGGGAACAGTTAATCGAAACAATATGACTCAGCTATGTAGGCGTGGTCACTTCACGTAACCTTTTATTTTTGTCCAGTATGTCACTCTCCGAAATATGTTCTTCGGAAGTGCTGAATATCGCTATTCAGTGTAAACAATGATTTAACCTCCACGTGAGATCTTATGGATTAGATAGTCATATCATAGCAAAACTACAATTTTGGGGTCAGGTCTGTCATTACGGCAGCGAAGATAAATGTACCAATATTGAAATAGGCCACAATTCCACAAAGTCACCGCTATTTCTCTGTATGACAATGGAAATTTATTTTGATATGCCAGTCGCTCATTATGCGGGAGCCGTGTGATTCCAGGAATTAAATTAGTTGGAGGTTTTTGACCTTTTTCCTGAAAACTTACTCTAGGTTAAGATGAGCGAACGAGGTATGGAAAATTAAATGGTTCAAATGGTTCTGGACGGAGTAGAAGAAGCCTTTGCCTAACGGGCAGGAACCTGTAGGCAGAAACGTAGGTGTATTATCGATAAAAGGGGAAAAAGAAATTGGTACGTCATAGTGAAATACTATCCTTAGTCCTTAAGAATATGTCCAGTTTTCTCATAAAGGACTCCTGAGAAGTCGCTTAGTCTATCTCAGTCGGCAGCAGATTCCGGCACTTGACTACCCTTAGGGAGTAGCAGTTTTGTCTACAGTCCGTTCTGCTCTGTCGGTTCTTCAGATTCTAGATGTTACCCCTTAGATTTGTGTTGGAGATAAAATTACGTAAATGTTTAAGAGGATGTCCAGGAGTATTTAGGATGCTGTAAGCCATTAGGTCACCTCTAATACGTCTATACTGTGATGGGTAAAGATTTGGTGACTGGAGGCTCTCTGCATAAGTCCTGAATTTGAGACCCTGAACCGATAGGTTACAGAGTGTCCTTATATTTTAGAGTGAGGGAGGTAATACTATGTTTCCGTACACTAAATGGCGACGAATAAAACTATTGAAGATTATGCGGAGCGTTCTTCCATCAAACTGGCCAAAAAAGCGCTTTGATGTTACCAGTGCAAAGTTTTTCCGAAAAGCAATTTTTTCAAAGTTAGAGTAAGAATTCAAGTCGTAGTGTTCCAGCACCCCTAAATGTTTTCAACTTGGGATGCTTCTAGAGAGAAGTCGCCTAGGTTGTATCTGTAATCTGCAACATTTCTCAGGTGGATTACTTTAGTTTGAAATGTTGAAGGTAAGTTCGTAGTTATCTGCCCAATTCTGAAGATACTCGTTGTGGAAGATCGTTTATATAAGTCAAAAAAAGTAGAGGTCCTAATATTGAATCCTGGGGAACCTCACTAATACATTTCATAGCTTAAGAAAAAGTGAAGTTAACCCTGATCTTAAAATGTCGATCTTTTGGACACGAAGTGAGCCAATCAATTAAAAGCGAGTTGATAATTAGTCGTTTGAGCTTGTTCATAAAACATATATTGTTAACCCTATCAAAAGCTTTTTAGAGGTCAAGGTAAATTATGTCAACCTTCTCCGTGCGATCAAGGATGGTTGTCCATCCGTCCACCACAGTCAGCAGGTTGACTGTTGAAGAATGTTCCTTCCTGAGACCGTGATGTTGGGGTGAAAAGAAGTTTTGGGATGATAAATAGTCGTGTATACCGTTGCATACCAGGGACTCCATAATTTTTGAGGGTATAGATAGAAGGACCTTCGGTCCGTAGCTTGAAGTTTCGATGAGTCGGATTCCCTTGAAAATTGCTGCGATATGAGCGTGCTTCCAAATTTCCGTTAATGTTCCTCACCATTGCGAATGTGAGAAGATCATGCTAAGCGGTGTTGTCAGTATTGAAGATGCATCCCTTAGTATAGCAAAATGAACCATACCCGGACCAGGAGAAGTGTTTTTTTCTTATATTCTGCAGTTTACGGTACACCAAGTCAGCACTCAGGTTCACTTTGGAAAGTCCTTTGGAGTTTTAGATGAAGCTTTTACCAATGTGGTTAATGTGGGTCGGTTGAAATATCCAAGAGAACTGTTCTGCTAGAAGGTTAGCGGTGTTACTGTCGCTGTTGGTCGGACCATTAGTACCTAGTAGCTAGGACACTCCAGTTTTGGCTTCAGAGTCGAAATGTCTCAAAGCTCTACAACAGATAGCTAGATGTTATTCATTATGTTCTGTGTACGTACCATGACAAAAATCATGATAATCCATTTTCAGGTACTAATTGTGCGCTGTAAAATTCTAGACCGTTCACGAAAATTTTGAAAATCATTCTGAAGCTCCAAATTTTGATTTCTAAAAACTGTGCTTTCCAAACGTTTGTATTGGCTTTGAATGACATATTGTTGTTGACATCTATATGGAAAGCCAGAATTTGATCTGTATGGTCACTCTTACCTAGGGTTTCTATTTAATCACTGGCCTTGTGAAATCAAGGAAATCCTTACTTATATGTCTCACTGAATGAGTTAACTTTCGGATTGCATACTTCAGTTTACACAGTGCATTCGATTTTCTGTGCGAAGAACTATTTATTCCTATAAATTTTCGTGGTGATTCACAACAATATTAACGAACTGAGCGTTTAAACCATTTTCCCAGTCCGTTGATAGCAAGTTTGACTAACCACAAGTGAAACCGTATGAAATTCCCAAGCTTCTGTGGTGCTTAATAAACGTGAATATTTATTGCTACTGCCTGCTATCGTTAACTCAATAGTAATTGATAAAAGCTTTTCAGAGCTACATCTTTCTGTATAAGCTGACGAGCTCTAATTGAGTTTAATGATGTATTTTGCAGAAAACGTCATTGTAATACGGTTGAAATTATAAAAACTTGCAGGCGAAATTTCACTCAGGTTATTATTAATTCCCTGAAGAAGTGGCTCAAACTAAGTCACGGAACATCAGAAAATCTAATTTTTCTACTCATTGGGTTATTACAAACATATTCTTTATTTATCACCTAGGTAACTTTTTATCATTTTACAAATGATTGTAAGATATTAACATTAACTCGTACAACGATTTTATTGAATCATTGTTTCATTCTCAAGATGATAAACCCAGTCCTGATTTTCAGGACAGATCAGCGTGGACATGTTTACGCAATGAAACCATAATTATGTCAGGCTTATTTGACTTGGAAGACATGAATAAAGCTGACATAAAAATCTTACAAACGAAGCATAAGTTCTAGAATTAATGCTACAAAGCACGAACTGAAACCATTCAAGATGCGCGGAAGCCAGCATCAAACCGAGAACTGCCGACACAACGATGCATGCCATAACATGTTTCACGTGAGCGAAAACTATGGAAGCTGGTTTTCTACCGTGCTGAGTCAACTATGAGTTATTTAAACAAACCGTTTCTCCTTGTAAGACTTTCGAAGCTACGTTTTTCTGCAGGAGGACGAAATAATCGGTTGTGACGTGATCTCAAACTTAAAAGCAATGCATTTAAACTATGGTGAAGAGGCAGGTGCGTATTAACTGATGAATCTACACATCGTATGCAAGTCAAATCGCATGATTTCATTTACAAGCAGTCGCACTATCTTATCCGCTTATTAATCAAAGTAAAGTATTTGGCTTTAGAAAGGAGGAACTAAAGTTAATGATCTTTAAACAAAGTCTTGATCAGTTTGAGAGCTTTCCGTTTGCGAACTTCCTAGTATGAAATTATAAGCGGAGATGAATTTGTGATATATTTTGTAACTAATGACTTCCTCATAATATTAATCCAAAGTTTGAGTTCTTTGGCCCTTAATACGAAAAAGACACAGAAAGACATGAACATCAAAAAAGTACTATAGTATGTTAGTCAGTAGTTACAATTTGCAAATAGTTTCGATTAGGTTCTGCGGTCGTCAAATTTGGTAGCTTTAAAAGATTGTCAGGATAACGGAAAAGTCTTTTTTATTCTATAAGAAAACGTTATATAAATCAATCAAAGTCTGACGATAGTAAACCTGTTTCTTAAAATTTGAAGATTTTTTCATAGTTCAATAGTAAAATATATTCGGAATAATTTGTGCGCTTTTTCGAAGGTGTAATCAATGAGATGCCGCTTGCACATCTTGGTCAACCATTCCTGAAGGCAAGCGATGTCACGAATGAGGTATGTTTTTTGGATTACTGTCATTATGAATAGTTAAAGTGCATATCTATAGATGACGCACCGGATGTTGGTTGTCAAAAGGTTTGTATTTCTTTAATTCTTAGGCAGTATTAGGTCGATGTTGCCGAGGTTGAAGTGAATATTGAAAAACTAGCCCACAATACAGAAAAAGTCGATCCATCATGTTTTGATCTGCTTTACGTCATTGGTCAAGGGTCTTTTGGGAAGGTATTGTCGTTCTCAACAATCTTATATTTACTACAGGTATTTCTTGTGAGGAAAAACAATGGAAATGATAAAGGAACTTTGTATGCAATGAAAGTACTAAAGAAGGCTGTTTTGAAAGGTTTGAAATATAGGTATTTCGACTGAACTCGCAGTTCGTGATAGATTGAGGACAAAGCTAGAAAGAGATATTTTAACTAGAATTAAGCATCCATACATTGTTGATTTGCATTATGGTATGCTCATCCGTTTAATTTGACTACCTTAGCTTTTCAAACTGAGGGAAAGGTGTATCTTATCCTGGAATTTTTAAGGGGAGGGGATCTTTTCTCCCGCTTGTCCAAAGAGGTAACTTCAAGTTTCCATTATTCTACGTTACCGTAAAGTACATGTTTACAGAAGACGATGTGAAATTCTATTTGGCTGAAATTGCATTGGCTCTCAACTATTTACATAGTCACGGGATAGTTTACAGAGACCTAAAACCTGAAAAGTACGTCTCTTGAAAACTTTCGAATTTTTATTGATATCTAACTCAAAAATATTTCTTATTGTTTAGAGTCCTGGTATTCAAAATATTTTAAATGAAAATTATAAGTGTGTTTTAAGAGCTTTGAACTTATATTTGCTTTAGACAAAATTTTGTCCTACTCTAAGCTGAAAGTCTGTAAGATGCTCGAAGATCCCAGGGTGAAGCTGGATGTGTATCTTTTTGTAGAGTCTTCCAAAGAATAAACTTCAAAGCAATATTTAATTTATCTCATGTCAGGTTTTAGAGGGGAAGCTTTATTTCCCCCGGGCTTTAAATATTTTATTATTCTACAGTCTCCTTTCTACATTTACATATCTGTTTGAAACATTTTGATGTTGTTCTCTGAGCTTTAACAAAACTTCAACAAAGTCATCTCACTGATCTACAAATCTCCACCATTGTGAAAAATTTTAATCTTTACTAAATTCTATGCATGATTTTAGGAGACTGGAAACAACGAATCAGTTCGTGTTTTTGTGAAGGTTCATATTGTCGTTACTCGTTAGAAAAACGATTTTTGGTAAACGTAGTTAGTTATCATACGCTCACTTTGTACCCAGAACTTACGAGTATTATTTTTAGACGTAATAATAATGTATGTAAACCAAAACAAATATTTTACGGAAAATAAGCTTTTACTAGGAGTAGTTAAAATTTTAAAGTTATTTTTAGTGCCAATGGTGTCACTTCTACTTCCTCTATCCCGATATTGATCTCGATCTCAGATTGTTGTGTTGATGAATCATAGCAACTTGTACAAATACGTATTGATAACAGGTTCTTACATCGCTCATGATTAAGAGTGCATTTTTATGCTTCTGGTTTTCATACCTCAATAAATTCCATACTGTCTTCACTCGGCGATTTTATTATCGAACCATCCGACCACATATATTTCTCAGTAGACGGTGTGTAAGATCTTTGGCTGGCAATGTTAAGTCGTTTTTACTGGTTATTCTAATCTTGTTTTGTGCTAACTACTGAAAACGTTTATGTTGTCTGACTTTCATGTCAACACAAAAGAAACCAGCACTACAGAAATCAAATATTGGTCTGGAATTGTATTAACCAGGAAACAGCCAGTTACATATTGAAGTTATTATTAATTATCAGTACAGGATTTAGTGAAGATTGTTAGATATTATTGAGATTACGAACCAACCTAAGTTGAGCAACCATGAAAAACCAGGAATCACTGGACATTTGTTTAATTCTAGTATGGGACTCAGCCATGAGAACTAAGGACCTTGATTCAATCCCTGGCAAGATCGTGAATGCACATTGCCAAGGAGTCCCATTCTGGGACTTAACAGCTATCCAATGCCTCCTAGATTTCATTGGTTGCTTAACTTGGGTTTCTGTGTTCTCAATAAAATCTCTAATTGTTTTCAGTAGGTTGATAAAGATATTTTTTACAAGAAAATTATGTTCGTACCGGATTATATGTGCAAATACTAATGAATGTTCTGATTTGTTTGTTTTTAATATCGTAAATCATTGTGCACTATCAGGACTCTGTAGCTAAGTAGATAACGCTATGGCATTTGAAGCGAACGGTACTGGGTCTGAGTCCCTGAGTGAACATCAAGTCTGAGATGTAGGTTCATCCAGCTGACGGGTCCCAAATAGAACGAAACGCGCATCCTGGATTCCACTGCTAGCCACTATCCATCTTTGCTTGTAATCATTGTACATTTTACTTGATATTTTATTGCAATCTATGAATATATCGACTTCAGATTTAGATATAACGAAAGCTATCGTAATCGCTCCCTTCAGGGAGCAGTGCGTCTGTGGATTAATGAATATTAAAAGCTTTAAAATATACTGTAAATCTCTTGATTTTATTTTACTCATTTCATAAACATAGACTAAATTAATGCGATTGATTCCTTTCTGTTTATGATAGTTCTCCTGGTGATTTCATATTGGTCAATGAACTAGGACTTTTTTGTACTCTTTTTTTTAACAAATTGATAAAGTGTTCTACTGAATGAAGATGGTCATGTACGTTTAACTGATTTTGGCCTATCAAAGGAGTCAATTTTTGAATCTGCTGGTGACCGAACGTATTCATTTTGTGGAACAGTTGAATATATGGCTCCAGAAGTTGTAAGTAGACATGGACATGGTACCGCTGCCGATTGGTGGAGTTTCGGAGTACTTATGTACGAATTACTTACTGGTATGCTGCCTTTTCATAGTGAGAGTAGAAAAGATACAATGCAAATGATTTTAAAGTAAGTAAACTAATAGTGACGTATTTTCAATAAAAAGTCAGTGGTTGATGATAATGAAGAAAACTCATTAGCTGTGTGCAAACAAGGATATTAATTAATTTTTATTTATTTAAGCACATAAATATTGGTACAAACGGACACCAAATATATTTGCGTCGCACAAATAAAGATAGCTAAATATGTATATTGTTATTTTCTATTGCCAATATGAATTTACTTTGAATGAGCGGCCAACTGACCCTGAAATCTTCACACGTTTTAGCATTAATAGGAAGACATGACAGTAAACACATTTTTTACTAAGAGCATGTGAACAACGACTTATTTCATAAGTTAACTGGTTTATATTGTGATATCTGCATTTTAATAACTGAATGAGCCTTAAATTGTTCTTATGAAATAATGTATTGTTAGGTTTTTATTTTTACAACTTAATTAAAGGATTGCATTGTCGAAACTAAATGTCTATGAGAATAATATTTTCTAATTATCTGATTAGGAATTTTATTTTGTGTTGGCTTGCAGGTTTTTAGTTACTGATTCTTACTACTTATCATCTTGACCTGTTCTTATATATATATATCGGGATAGTAAATACAACTGTTTTCTGTCTAATTTGTCGAAAATAATTTTCTTGGTGGAGAACAGCTATTTTCTGAGAGATTTTCCTCAATCAATGAAATCTATATAAGCGTTAAAACAATTTTGATTAGTTATTCGTTCCAAACTGTTTTTTTCTCATAGTCCGATAACATGACATCGAAAGTATATTGATAACTTGAAAATTTGATTAATACAACTGAATTTTATGTTTTAAAGCTTTTCCAGTTTGACTTATAGTACGAAATGTTACAAAGTTGTTGTAACATGAAATACAAAAAAACGCGTGCAATGTACATAGTCTGTGTGTACTACTGGTAAATACGTATCGTACTAAAGCAGTAAAATTAATCGTTTTAATGATTAATTTGGGGAAACTTGTTGAAGGATAATAAATATTCAATGATTGTTGTATCCTTTGTTTTCATCTGTTGATGTAGCTATTAAGGCATTTGCGATACTTTATTTGATCATACACAGTCATGTTATCCGGCGCCATCATTTAGAGGTTAACCTTCTCCATGAGTCAGTTAGTCTAACACGTAAAACTGACTCAGTTGTTTGTGTTTTGAGAACTTGTAATCGCTATAATAATAACTTCAAATTTATTATTGTGTTTAAATTACATATCATCAGATGCGTCTCGATTTCGACGTTCATTCCAAGACCTCATTCCCCGCGCATATTATTTTGAACTCTATAGTTTATTTAGTGGAAAAAAGATATTTAGCAAATAATTCACACATTGTAATTTTGTCTATAAGTCATGACTGTGTTTTGCTTTTTATGAATTAGGCATCAAGATCACTATCCGTTCATTTCAAAGTTGACAGTGAACTACTAAAAATTAAATACATATTATTAATAGAAATCCTTGTGAATTATTACTGCTACTGAAATGTCCATTGTTTTGATACTTTGTTTGCTAAATACATTTGTAAATTATTTAAAATGGATATGTTTCAATGCTTTAAAAATATTATTGCGGAGTCTATCACATAATACTTATAATGGAAATGTATCTTAATATGTGTTTTTTTGTATTTGTAAGTCTGATTTATTTTATCGTTAAGTATGATCACATGCAAGTGAATATTCACATATGAATAAATCAAAAACTAATTCATCTCGAAATACAGTCTCAAACGTAATGTGAATGAGTTTTAGTTTAGAGTTTCGAAACGAATGCTCTAAAAATGGAGATAATGTATATGTTCATATTGTCTATGTCTACTTTTGTAAACAATACCTACTGAAATATAGTAATATACATGTCACGCAATAATTTATAATACATTATGAGTTGCATTTGCTATCTATTTAACAAATAATGCAAGATAAAACTTCGAAACAAAAAGTATACATAAGTTGGAAAATACAGTCAACAGTGGTTATCAATACTCCCAAATAACTCAGCTAAAGAGAAAGCATTGAAATGGTCATGTAGAGAGGTTTGTTTTTTCCAAAGAGAATACAAAACAAGGCCCGTGACATTTACGCATTGTGTTTTGTTTTACACAAACAGTGAATTGAAGATTAATTGTCATTGATATTAGTAGCAGATAATCTGGAAAAAAAGCTGTAAGAATAAATGAAACAGGATATCTAGAATAAAACAGGAGAAAATTCAATGTACAGAAAAACAAAAAATCACAAAGTACAAAATAAATTCAACGATTTCCACCAGAAACATAAAAATTAATTAATTGATCTTCTGTATATATCTAATACTAAATAGATTTGTGTACCACGCAAAACGTTTTTATATGTTTGAAAATCTGTTTTTTTTCGAAAGGTAAACCTCAAACTTCTGAAATAATAACCATTCACATTTGTTACTTGTGCTCGTAAATAAGTGTTGAGTGGATTATTCTTAATGAAAAATTGCTTCTTTATGTAATAATATTAGTAAATTTATGCGAGTCATTGTTCAACGTCTTACATTGGTAATGACTACTTAGTTCAATGTACATATGTATCAGGCTGTAGGTTTGTAGTGAATACCTGACTTTTTTAGTATACCCCTAACTTGGCAGAATAATTATGTTGAATTGTTAGAATTATTGAAAATGTTGACGTTTTTCCAGGCTAATTTACTAATAATTGGTTTAAATTGATAAACTTAGAAAAGTTCTGTATTTAATGTAACTAAAACCAACTTGGTCATGTAGTATGACTAAATATTCAAGATGTATATACATTATAATAAAATAACATTAATAATTTTTTCATCATATTAAGATAATATTTTAAATGATCATTCCAATAATTTCAATGTAATAATCAACATAGACCGACAAATTATAGATAAAAAGTTTGCTCATTTATTCCTAATAAGTTTTTCTCTCACAACAAATTATCTGTAATACAATTTGCGCTCTTCTTGGATACTCTTGTGAAACGACGTACATTATTGCATCGGTTAAATACTGACAAGAGTATTATAGTCGATTTCGGCTGTAGATTTAAACTACAAAGAATATTGACCAAGCTTTCATTACTGTTTGTAATTCATGTGATCAAGCTGCAGTGTGGTCACTATCCTAAGTGCTCGGCGTCATGTGTAGTGTGTTTTGATTTTAGGGAGTTATAGGTAATCAGGAGGAAACCCTGTTAATAAAAAATATTTGCAGTCTTGAGGGTATTAATACTCCCTGTAGGATTCGTACTCACCCCACTCAACTTCACAGTCTGAGACATTACCACAATTCTTCTATCGGTGCAGCTAATGACCTACTGCTTATGAGTTTCATGCCAACTACATCCAACTACTTAACAGTCGACTTTCTGTTGACAGCTTCCTTAAAGTTGTGTATAGTCAAGTAAAGCAGAATCTTTAATTACATTTCTCTACTGCAAATTAGTACAGTGATATCAATTTAACAGATAGAACATAGATCATTCAGATAAATGGTTAGCAATTTGAGATAACGGTAAACCGTTAATAGGCATTTTTCACTTGAAGAATTGGTAGATTTAATCAAAGATGTTTATGATCCTACCAATAGATTTAATGATTATAGTTAATAATAAACCATTGGTCTGCTTTTTTACTTTTTGACATCGAGAGGAGACTTTGTTTATTCCTTCATTTTCATATAAATTAATATACAACTGTAACATCAAAATCCTTATTAATAATTAACGATTCAGTATAGATATTGTTCTTATATGAGTTTGATGAAAAGTAGTATTTTTTGTTTAAGATTTTTCTCTCATTTGTTTGTTAAGTGATGTGTATCACTGAGACTTGAATGAAGTGTCTAGTATTATAGTGAATGTTTTTATCGGAAAATACCTAATCTCTTCTACAACTACTGATATCTTTCATACTTCTACTACTCTTGGTTTCGTTTAGACAATTTCATCTCACTGTGCTAGTGTGGCATGACAACTTGAACCGATATACATATGTTTCAAGTTCGACGTCATGTATAGTTAACTTACTGACACGGAGACAATATTGTATACCACACATGGTTTGCAAAAAATTGACTAAAGACGTTTATGATTGTAGTATTTCCAACTCACTATTGAAATGTAGCTTTTTTACAATATAGGAAATAGCATTCTCATAGAAATTGAATTGTTAGAAATCAAGCGCGACAGGAGAATAATTGTACCGCTGAATAATTACACGATAATTCTAAACTGATTGTATGTAACGATGTGACAACGTATTTATGTGTTTTAATGTACAAGTGTACAATGCTGTTATACTTCAAATATGTGGGGGATAAGTTACCAGTTTTATATTTTTTAAATTGTCGTTCTTCCGTAGTAATTGCTTTCATGAGAGTGACTTTTAGTTTGAAATTTTTCGTGGATCATAAGATTAACTGCAATAACTTGATACATGGTCAGATTATGAAATGATCCTTTGTACGTAAGAATAAATGTGTGTAGTTAAAATTTATCTCGGTATCCAATTCTTAAGATTGATGTTCTAAGAATTACTTAAAATACTGATGAAAAATGGATTTTGTAATCTAAACCAAATGGTTACCACAAAATAGGTTTATTTTCTTGATGTTTACATAATTTATGCCTTTGAATGAACCTACACGAAAATTGAAATTTCGCTTCAGAATATTTTCATTTGACTGTTTACTTTGTACTCAGATCTATGGTACATGGTCTTTTCTCTTCCTTATCTGTGAAATATAGTTATTGTTTTGTAGAGCACATCGTTTGATGACCCCACCAAAAACAACATTCACTTCTATCTGCCATTATAAGTTTGTTGCTATGCACAGCACATAATAGCTTCATTACAATTAATTGTTTCAAACAAACCGCTCTTCTTATTGAAAAAAAAGTTTCTCAGTCCTAAACTAATCACTTTTGCAAGTTCATTACCAACTCTATCTTTATATTTATAAACATGTATTCAATTCATTACAACACAGTGTGTACATCGACTAGTAATTGTTGATGTTACCATCTGGTAATCAATAAAATATCAAGTACTTAACAACTCACACGTAATGTACCTTGTTCACCTTCACACTTTTAAGAAGGAAATAACTTATCTATTTTATCAGATATAATTTCTATATAACTTAGATTTTTACTTTCCTAAATTATATTATCTAATATAATAATGATGTTGTATTGTACAGATTAAACATAACAAAAAATTGTAAAATATTTAAAAGTATGTAAAATGTTTTTTTTTAATTTTTTCAGAATAAAATATTTCTGTGTCAGAAACAAAAAAAATTTTACAGGCTAAATTAAATTAAATTAAAGAGTTCATTTCAATGCCTTAATTTTAATCTTTTTCTTATTTACTGTTTACTGTGTAGTATATGTTAATATATTTATCTTTTGTACGACTGGGTATTCTGTGTTTTGTTATTCAATACATAATTAGAAAAAAAAATAATAGAATATTTCAATGTATAGTTGTTTGAATGTAAATAACTAAAGTGTGCATATTAATTGATTTTATTGACTTGTTCAAGTGTTAGCTTTTGGTTTTTCAATTTTGCTGAGAAATATCTCCCAAATATGTATTGGAAAATATTGCAATGAAATGGTTATAATTTGAGACTAAAGACTCTGGGTTCAAGTCTCGTGTTCGGGATCGTGGATGCACACTGCTGAGAATTGTCATACTAGGACAAAACGGCCGTCCAGTACTTACAGGTTTTCAATGGTGGTCTAGCTTAGATTGGCTCGTGAATTCAACTGTTAAAATATAATTAGATTGATAAGAATTGTTCTACTCTTGAATGTAGCATGTTATTTTTGAAATCAAACCAAAAATCCTCAAGCTGTTAGTCTAAACTTATTAAAAACACATTTTTTAGTTTCAATAACCGGTAAAATAGACATTTATGTTGTATATCAAAAGATTATGTATCCTGCAGTGACATTATCAGTATGCATTGTGTCATATTACATTAAATTTTAAGACAAATTGTTTTTTCTCATCAATTTATATTGGGTTTCATTTGGTTACATTTGAAAGCTAATTTCTCTTTTGATTGTTAACTTTCACTTCGTAATACTATTGAAATGCTCTAAAAATAGCCTCTAGTTTATGATTTCGGATATTTACTCTGTTTTAACTAAACAGCTTATTCAGACAAACTGTGATTAGTTTTCTTATGAAGTGATGAACATTTCGACTAGAGTTTAATGTGTTTTATACACACTAGTTTTTAATTGGATACGAATCAAAATGGAATGAATAGACTATTTTGTTTTACTATACCTGTAAACATAAATCAAGTCAATTTATGTCATAGATTTGGCATTGAAATCTGTTTGATTTAAGTGAACGGAAAGAAGTTAGAAAGAATTTCCACTAATTTACTTGATGTTGCAAATCTCTTTATTTTTTATAAACTACCATGAAACGATAATGAACATACAACGTTATCACGAGTTAATTTTGTTGCAAAAACAAGCTTATTAAATAGCTTGATAAACTAATTGCAAAATAAATATTTTATTTTGTATGACCATTCTGTTTACTAAACTTGATTTTGTTTTGTTTTTTTAGAGCTAAATTATCAATGCCACAGTTTCTTAGTCCTTCAGCTCAAAGTTTACTACGTGCTCTTTTCAAACGAACTCCATCGAATCGGCTAGGTAAGAAGAAAGCTGTTACTGAATTATTTATCTAACAGATTTTATACTTACTAAATTATCTCATTAGTTGATTGTCGTTTTTATTTATTCGAATGATTACTTTCTACATATGACAATTCTGTTTGAATCTTCAGGTATATATATGTTTTTGTATACGACCATTTACTTGCTGAAGCCTGTTACCTCCCTTGGAGGCATAGGCCGCCGACAAAGGGTCTTGAACCAACTCTTCTGAATAATCCCGGCTTTTACCATGAGGTATCATAACCCTTCTATACGAAGAATCCTAAACTCCCACAGCAGAGTTTAAGTGGTTATTTCGGTTAGCGTTTTCTTTGCAAGGGTTGGCACCTCTATCCCTAACCCTCCTCTCTTATCCGGGAATTGGACCGGCAGTAGCCTTTGAAGGGGTCGAGCCGGAGATCTATAACTGCACAATATTTATTACAAATTAGACATGACTAGTGCTCGAAAATTTGTTTGATCAGATCACTTAAAATGATGTCAAGCTAAACAAAATGATGATATTTAAATATGGCAGAAATTACCTAATTGAATGTACATACTAAGCCCATTAAACAGAACAAGAACACCGAGTGGAGGAGAACTGTTTAAACCCATTTTTTATTCTATTGTTTCATGTTAGCTAGTTATAACCAAAAACACCATGGAAGCTTGAGAAACTGGTGGGATTGAACAATAATAATAATATTATTAATAAAAGTAACAAGAATACTGATAAGGTTGTCCATACCTGTACCAAATGGATGTATTCTTTAAAAAGCAGGAACTTCGAGTTAACTAAAGAGACATATGCGTATATATATTATATAATCCCTTAATTTTGATTGTAGTATCTGTTGTTTTATTTACATTGATTATATTCTACGATAATTCTTGGTAGTGATATGGATTGCAGAAAGATGTGATACAATTTGATTTCTTAAGTTGGAAAACTGAAGTTGTCTGTTTCTTCTTATCTAGCTGCTTGTCTACCTGTTTATATACACAAAACAATGAAACCTACTGCTTACATAATAGATTCATAAGAGCTGTACACAAGCAGCAATTTGCATTTCTTTCACTAGTCAGTATAGGCTAAAAGTGAATGACTTTCATGTCAAATAATTCAGTGGTTTGCTTTTTTTTGAAAAAGACCATAAAGGCATACAAGTTTATTTAAATCCAAATTAATTCCCTCCATGAATAAGATGTAATTTAACTGATAAATGTTTTGGACTTCAAATGATACATTAAATATAAGATACTACTGAATTTAGATATAACCATTAAAATTATGATAATTATGAAAAAATTGTTGCATTTTTTGTATTTATTCCTAATTTTATCAGTATGATTGGATTATTGTATGATTTTCGTTTGATTGATAATAAATAGATACCAATGATATTGTCATTAACTGCCGAAACAGTTAAATAGCTTCAATACTTTCTAAACCCTTTTTATTGTCATGATCACTTAATTCACAGTGTTTTATTAACTGTACTCAATACATTTCCAATCAAACAGTTAGGAATTTTAAAATCCAACAATCAATAATTATCTGGATATTAAGAGATTTATAGTTTAAGCTGTTTAGTTATACACAGTAAAGTGTATAGATGTTTTGTGGTACCACTTACCTAATTTTGAATTAAATACAGTCTGTTCAATAAATACACGAACTGAGGGGATATTATTTTTACAAATTTCACGATATATCAATAGTTTTTTATACAAAATATTACTTATTTTCTGGGATAAATTTGTACAATTTTTTTCCATTGCTCAAAACACTTCTGTAAGTTGTTAGAAGTCCGACTCTTCGGCTATCTCATTGTTTCCTGCTCTATTGTCTTCAAGTTTTCCCCGTTTTACCGTTAAGTGACTACTTTGTTCTCTGAAAATGGAATGAAATTAAGTGTAGCCATGTTTGGGAAGTGGGGAGAGTAGTCTTTCATAAAGGGGACCTAGCCCTAAATATTTGACTCAAGACTTGTGCACAGACATTCTTCCTAAATATACCTCGGCATTAATCCTTCGGACTGTGAGAACCAACTATTCGAAGGCACAAGGAATTATACACGCTCCATGTTTTCATAAAGACAGGATTTTAATATTAATTTTGACTCTGCATCACTCTTGAAAACTCCTGGGATATCTTTGAGACATTTAATGCAATTAGAAGTGGTTTTTTTATTCAGTTTATCGGTTGGAGAGTAGTAAAGATATTAACAGTGATAATGGCAATAGAGAACTCTCAACACTTCATAAACTTCTTAAGGGTTTTCTCAGTGCTTAGTCAACAAAATTAGTAACACTTGCTGTATTGACTGAATACATTAGTGAATTTGATTGGTTCTAACATAGACAACTATTCAGTGCATTTGATCAACAATTACGCTGGACGGTGAGCCGTCCTGAGACTTCTATTACTATTATTATTATTATAGTCAGAAAATCGCATGTTCTATGTCCATTTTTTTGTTTTGGTAGTTATAGTGTTTTTTTAATCAAGATTATCTTTACTTTGAATAGATAATGACCATAGTGTTTACACGTTTATTCATCAATCTATACAAAACTTAATTCCATGAAATAAATTATTTAAATATCAATTCCGGTTAATAAATCCGTGTCATAGGCCTTTCCAACAAATATTGTGTTTATTGTTAAGTTTATCGTTTGAAGTTTTTTTCTGTATACCAAGTTTTTGTTTTTTTCCCACGCTAGGATATGGACCTGATGGATTTGAACATTTAAAAAATCATGAGTTTTTCAATACAATCAATTGGGATGATTTACTAAATGGTTGTATTCAACCACCATTTAAACCTCCTTGCTCATCAATTAATGACATCCTAAATTTCGATTCAGAATATACATCACGTACACCGCATGGTAGGTATTTGCTACAGTGTTTATAACAGAGATACAATTTCTTATAATGAGTTGTTAATAAAAGTGAATATTATATATATAACGCAATAAACGTTTGGGCAATTTATCAAATTACAATAATAAACTTCGATAGTATTTGAGAGTAACTTTTCAAATCGATTAAAGTTGAAAATGTGAACTTTTTTAATTACAGCAAAAGGTATTTCGTAGTTAAGTGTTATGCTTATTCCTGTTGTATTGGGGACTATAGTTGTGCATTTTTGCCAAGTTTTGTAAACACTTTTAATGTTTACTGAACAGATTTTAAATCTAGATCGTGTTGTGCTCCGGTTCACTTTTTTTGTTAGATTATTCACTGCATGTATACAAATTAAAATTACATGGTCTCGTAGTTCTTATGGTACTCGATGTTGTTGTAAGGAGTTGGCAACAAGTATATTATGTTTCCAGACCTACTTTTTTCAACTTCACTCAGTCATGTTACAACAGATGAAGCATTGTCATTTGAATTAATGATGAAGATCAATAACAGTTAGAAATAGTATTTAACACCACTACTGTCAAACATTGTAGAAAACTAAATATTTTGTTTCCACTACTTTATGGATTAATCTCTTGTTTAGATGTCATCTAACTGATCTAGTGTAGTTAGGTTGTAACCTTCATTCGATCACAATAACAGATACACTCAGTATTTATTTTTCGCAAAATCTTAAATATTTTATTCTTCATTATTTATTTATCCTTGCGTTTGTGCGATGTTGTATACATTATTAGTTATCTTGCTCACTAAATATTTCTACGTAAGCAGAATTTCTTGACGTTTTTTTTTCAAATGCTTTCAACTTACAGACTCGCCATGTCCACCAGCCAGTGCATCAGCGCATGCGTTATTTCGTGAATTCAGTTATATAGCTCCTGGATTTTTTGCAGAGCATAATGATAATCATAATACCACAACTACAAATAATTGCAACAACCATGTTAACCTTAATAAAGAAGTATTGAATGGAACAAATATCACTTGTTTGAGTTCACCGAAAGAAAAATTCAATTATAGTTCTCGACACGATGATGGTATGTGTATTGGTAGAAATCTAGCTACATCTCGTCTTTTCAGTATCACACTTTTATCGATATATGTAATGGTGTGACTCATATGCATATTTATACATGTTTCCTTAATGTTTACTGACTTGTCATAATGAATTTACGTACATATGTATTCATGTACATAGCTGACCACAGTAATTTCGTTCTTAGTAAATATGTTCTATATTTATTTTCATTAAATATTATTATTAGTAGCAGAACACTAAAGAATTTCTATACAATATTTAATTTTAAAAATTCCATTCACACCTATGTGAACACATACGCAGCAGTAACAATTTAACAGCACACAAAATGAAGTTGTGTTCAGACACTACTCAGAAAAACTAAAACGCACTTCAGCTTCCTCACTACGTAAAAAATTGTAAAAACTCATCTTCAGTGGATCTTTTGTCCGAATTTCTACTCCAACAAACTCATCAAATGGTCTCTGGCCAATAAACAAACCATCAAGAAACCCATCTCCGAAGCCATGATACAGATCGTGCTAACATATGCGTGAAATATCTCAGAAACCCATCACAAGGATCTTCAAGCCCTTTAAAATCAACATTGCTCACAAAACAACACTTACTTACTGTTTGTGAATCATAGACTAACAACCAGGATTCTTCCATTGACTTCTTCCTGGGCTCTCCGTCCCATTTGTTTCCAGTTGCTATTCTTTCTTTTGATGTCTGCCTTCGATTCCTGACTCAACGTGTTGTTTGGTCTGCCTCCGTTACTTTTGCCTTGAGAACTTAATGTTAACGCTTACCTCGTGATGAAGTTTGATGATTTCCTCAATGTATGTCCTATTCACTTCCAGCGTTTTTTCCTAATTTCCTCTTCGGCTGGATACGGGTTTGTTCTCTGTCACAGTATGTTGTTGTTAATGATATCCGGCCAACGGATATTGAATATCTTGCATTTAGAAACACCTGTACATTTTTGATTATGGTTGTGCTAGTCATATAATTATTAATATCATCTGTAGTTTGTCGTCAATGGAAGTTTTATACTGCTCGCAACACTATATTATACAATTCTTTCGCCTAAACTTTATATCTTGCGTTCAGATTAACACAGGTTTTCGTTACTTGCTTGACAGCACTCAGATAAAGATGTGTATAAGAGAAGACTATAAAATATAAGAGTCACTAACAATTATTGAATGTGACAAACGTAGTTCTTCTTGTGATGAAGATGATTTATCTTTCATAAATATTTTCTATGAGAAGAATACTGTCTCGGGTTCTTAAAATATATCGCCATTTTCGTGAATAATTGTTTTAGGAACTTCAACTATCACGCATATGCAGAAGTGTAACACAATGCTATGATTGTAATTCATATAACCATTTTCTTATTTCTTCTTTAATACACAGATCGTGCAAATCCAGTACATGTTCCAGAAGATCTTCCACCCTTAACTCCTACAGTGGCAAGACGTTTTCTTCGCTTAGTTGGCTTGTCAGGTGTAAAATATAAACCATTTTCAGTCGATTATGTCTTATTAGAGGAAATCGGTAAAGGCTCTTTTTCAGTTGTACATAAGTGCTGTCATCGAAATACAAATGCTGTTTGCTCTGTTAAGGTATGTTATTTGTCAGTTTTAAGTTATATTATTGTCTTCACTTATTATTTTTTGATATTTGGTTAGGGCTATTTGATCCGGGACTCGTGTTTCGTCTTATTTGGGAATTTTGTTAATGGATTAGTCAAAATTAAACCTGCTTCGAATACTTATTTTTCGGTTAAACTTTATAATTTACTAAGTATTTTAGAAAAAAACTTATTATTACCTACTCTTTTGATGAAGTCTGTGATATGCTAGGTCAAACAAGTCACGTTTAGGATTGGAATGGCATTAGATTAGGATTGAACTCCATCACAAATAAAGTAAAAGGCAAAAGTGGAAACTTATAGTTCATAACTTAATGTTTTAAAAGTGTACTGTTCTTTATTCGATTTTAAAGTTGGTCAGTACCCGTAAGGGTTTTCAGACTTTTGTTTGGTGCTTTATATTGTTTGATAATCCTATATCTGGCTTCACTTCACATAATGAATTTGCATTCAGTTTTTTAAAAGACGATCATAAATTATTGTAACCTTAGCGAATGATTCCGAGGTAGAAATAAATACACCTTCTGGATTGCGCTGCTGATCACAGTCAGTCTATTCTCAATAACTTGCGACAAAAATGTCTATTTCTAAGCAATCTACAGAAAATGAACATATGACCAAAATCTAGTCTTGAATATCAACAATGAGATAGTTCAAATTCTTATTTGGGATGGTATAAACATCATGTCTTTCGAATAAGTTATTGGCTATGTGGGCTCAGCTGCTCAATGGATAACGTGTTGAGCATTGAAAGCTTAGGGTACTGGGTTCGGGTCATAATGCGAACATTAGTTGTGGGATGCAGGTGTATCCAGTTGACAAGTCTGAAGGGGGACGAAACATATTCTGGATTCCATTGCTAACCACAATCCATCTATTCTAAATAATTATGACATTACTGAATATTTAGATGACTTCTATATGAATATTTTTTCCAAATATTCTTCAGTATCACATTAGCTTTAAGTTAACTGAGCTAACCATTTTATTAGTTATCCAACATTATGGTCATATGGAACATGTGAAATTGATATAACCAGTAATGTAATAGAATTAAATAATTAATTGAGGAAATAAATGAAAGTTTACAATATGAATGTCAATTGTATATCAGCTGACACTGCATAACCTCTAATGTGTGAAGTAGAGAGTGAGATGTTGGTTGTTTATTCAACTTTTTCTAAATTATTTCTAATTTTTTCCTTTTTAATTTTTACCAGTTCAGTCCCTTTCATTTTTATCTTGACCATAAGACATCAGGATTTTCTTTCTCTTCCTCACAGTACGTGTTCCTATAAACACGAAATATCTTAGTGGATTTTAAATGGTTTAAGTTAGTATTCTCAATATTCTGTTAAGTGTTTTTGATTAAACATTTAAAAGCTTTGGATTTATACTATTACTACTAATAATACTAATCCTACTACTGTCACTACTCTTGCTACTGTAGTGAACGATTAGAAAAGTGGGGACAACCAAATATATTTTAATACAACACAGAATATCTTGATAAAATCGGAGACCCATATAGTAATACATCATTTGCAAAATATCCATCAATTGTCTCAGACTTTGGTGTTCCTCCGTTTTCATACCAATCACTCTGTTCTCGTTCTCTTCTCTTCGATTCTCTCAACCTTCTACCACCAGGCACTCCACTTTCAATTGGTGATACATACTACTCATATCTGTCGACATCAGTAGCATACACCACACTACTGCTACCACAACATAGATTAATGTTACCGTTACTTACACATCTCATAATTGTAATGAAAATGTGTTTGTAATTGTATTATTTGTTCGAATTATATAATGACAAAAAGGAATAATTTTGTATTGGAATAACTGAAAATGTTTTTCACACAATGTATATTATATTACACAACGTTAAAACTGTTTATATAACAGATCTGATCAAAATTACTGAACAGATGAATAATTTCCTTTTGTTTTACAATTCAAAATTTTATTGTTCTATTGAATGGGATCAGGTTAAATAATTCTCCGATATGAAATCATGTTTACCAACAAAGTGCAACACTTTAATCTCTACCATTTAAAGATAAATATTCATTACAGTGCTTGTATATATAAATTTCTAAGCTAAATTATTGAAATCTTTCTATGCCTCCTTTTTTTTATTTCTATCATCAGCTGACGGTTTTGTAGATTTCTATTAAATCATCATTGGTTTTTCTAAAGGAAAATAAAAATCTATCTAAACTACCTTTTAATTGGTATGCATGTGATGTTTTTGGTTTTTGTAACAAAAAAAACTAAACAAGAACAAATATAATGTAAGACGAGGGCATGTGTAAATAGAATATCTATTTTGGTTGTGTTTACTACTTCCTAGAAATGTTTTATCATAGAATTTCAAAGTCCTGTTCTATTTTTATATTTTACATCTTACCATACAAAGGTTTGGTTTTTTTAAGATGTAAATTCATTTTACTGTTTCTTGAAGTAATTATATGACAATTGTCCTGGAATGGGCTTAGTAGTTTATGAAAGAGAAGTAATAAACTTTTGAATAGTAATTTAGAACGCTTATTTCACTAATAACACTTAAAGCTAACTGACATTCATTAGATCAAAAGTCATGTAATTATTATATAATCAAAGTTGTGTATTGTCAGTAATACTATGAACTGTGAAGTCGAGCGAAACAAATCCTAATCCTACATGGAACATCAATTTCCTGGAGATCGTAGGTACGCTTTACTGATAAGCGCTAACTAACACTCAACCTAAATTCAAGGTTTCCTGCTGACTACCCCCAACCATCCTGGATTATAGTATTATAAATCTATATAATTGAAAAGGGAGTAATAACTTCTATCATTTAAGTGTATATAACAAATATACCGATGCACTTAATACATTGTTTCTCAACTTATATATTTCTCATATTATTTATGGGTAGTTTCTAGCCCGGTGCTTAGTTGAGATTAATCCTAGATGTCGTCATTTTGTAATACTTTGTTTTAAAAAAATATACATTTAGTCAATATCTAAACTTATAGATTATTTCTAAATTTTATCGTTTCTGAATTTCAATATTCACAAATTCTTCCACAATCATCCTTGATGCATCCTCGAATGCGTCATTTTTAGTTTGTTTTCCAATATACTTACTTGTACAAAATAAGACCTTACTATTATCTTACTAGTGGGATTAGTCATAGCCCTTAAAATAAATATCAGTGCTATATATCCATATCACAATGAAGACAGATAAATCAACTGGAAAGTTTTTCATTTCTTGATACAAATCTGATAAAAGTCTTGGGTAATAAAAATAAACCGCATGCTATGCAAACAACCGATCGTCCTGTCAGTTTACAGTTGTAGATAGTACGCTGTTGAACCATCAGGATTGTGGATGCGCACTTCTGAGAAGTTCCATATTAGTACAAATCGGTCGTCCAGGTTTCCAATGGTTGTCCAACACTGATCAATTTATGATCTTGATGAAACTGAACAATCTTCATAACCCTGTATTATTAGTCGCTGAAATTCGGTCACCACTGGAAAGCAAGTCATGCATGACATTGATTATGAGTCAGTAACCAGTCAATGTATATTCTGCATTGTTTGTTGACTGCAAATTTCTATTTTAATCCTTTTATAATTCATAAAAGTGCATCATTGAATTAGATACTCTCATATCTGTGCTTGTCAATAGTACTTCAGCAACTCAGTTTATTCTAAAGTAGTCAAGAAAGAAAAGTTTACATATAGATAGCAGATAGAATTCCTGTTTTGATGAGTTAAATTGTGTTAATCACTTATCGAGTGCTTTTTTTATTGGTTACTACGTCTGTATCTTAATTTATAACACTTTATTTTAGATATGAATCAATTCCTAATCTTTAATAATTCCAATTATTGAACATGTGATGCCGCATTTTATGCGTTCTATATTAATTTAAACAATATTCTTTACATTCATTCTTTACATATATCATAATTATATGTTAACGATCGTTTTGTTTACTACATAATCAGGTTTCGATTCATTTCTCACTGGACTCAAGGTGATTCTAACCTATTATTATTATTATTATTATTATTATTATTATTATTATTATTATTATTCAAGTTCTTTTTAATTAAGCTAACATTGTTTAAGCAGTATATTAATAAGTGTTAGATCTGTTCTTATACTAAAAATAATATAACGCATCAATACATTCTATGAGGATTATTTTAATTTCAGCTAACTGAATCTAATGTCTTCAATTTCAATAAAGCCATTTACTTGTTATATATTTGTTTATTTTAAGTAACATTAAAACACTTTTTTTTAAAAAGAAGGTTATATTTATTATATCACTACTGTAGCATCAAGTTTTATCATATAAAGGAATGATATTGTAATCTTTCGAAATAATTTTTTCAAGTTTAAGTTTTTCCCAGAAACTACATAACACTGATAATATAGTTTATAAAAATGAATAGATCAGAACACTACCATTGATAATAATCCTTCAGTTGATAAAAAAGGTCACTGTTATTTGATAATTTTCATTAATATTTTGGTCTACATACTAAATGTTTCTTAATTGTTCCAGTTATTGATCGACAAGAGAATTTTTTTATTATTTTTATCTTATGTTCATAGTTATTTTATTTTCCCAATCCTATTGTAAGTAAGTTCATATTTCACAAGACAATATGCGTGAATGTTGAATAAATGAATTCACATGAATCGAATTAACAAAATAAGGTCAATTATTTTATTTATCAAAAAAAATTATCTTAAATTTTAACTCATAATCTTTTGTCATTTTATTCACAATGTCAGAAAAAAAATGTTTATTTTCCAAAATACTGTTATTGAACACTCATATATGAGACAAGGTGAGGCTATCTCAAATCTCACAGGGAACATCAGTCCTTTAAATGATACAGTACACCTTGCTGGTGAGTACTAACCAGCGTGAAACATTAGTCAAGTGTTTA